TTTTTTCCGTTTCTTCTGAAAATTTTTTCTCTTATGCTCAGGGTAAGCCACACTCTTTCTATATATTTTATTTCTTTCTTCCTCTTTTCTCACCCTGGTTGCTTTGTATTTCTTATTTCTTGAAATCCCATCTTGGGATTTTTTTTAAAAATTATATTGAGCCGAATTTTATTTCTTATAGGTTTTCAGTGAATTTTAGGGGTTTAAATTGTTGGGAAATTTTTTGTTTTGCTAGTTTTTTTTAATGTGCTGCATTTGATTTAATCTGGGTTTGATTTTGCAGGCAAGCTTGGTGAGAGTGAAGAATTATTCAGTTATTTTACTGGTAAAGTTTGGTTTTTTAAGGAGAGACGTGGTATTCAGAAGCTGGGGTTTTGGTGATTGAAGGGGATTGGGCCACCATCAAATCGGGTCAGTCTCTTGTTGACTGTTATTTGACAAATTTATTTTCTGTAAACAATTTTTTTTCTTCTTTTTTAGCCTTCTGTGGAATTTTACCTTGTGTCTGTTGTTTCTTTTATTGCTTTAATTGAGCTGAATTCTTTGGGTTCGAATAAGATATGTGGATTATGATATGACAAGCTTTGCATTGTATGCTTTGAAGAGATTTATGTTTTCATTGTTATGGTCGCTGCTGTTATAAAGATTCGATATTGCTATGAATTCTAGGGGTATTTGGTTGGAGAATGGCCCTAAGAGTGCCTGTGTAGGAGCTTGTTTATGAGTTGCTCAGAATTGTTGCTTCACAGAATTGTGGGGATATTGTTGCCCAACATGCTATGAAATTGAATAGGACAATTTCAATAGATTATATAAACAGGACCTTATTAGTCCCACTTTGGGGTTTTGTTTGATTCAACAGCCTCAACAGACGCCTCTGATAATGAAACCTTAAGTACAGTCCTATTATTTTGCTGTACAAAGTTGGTAATGTGGCTGTGATCCTCACTTAATGCCAAAAGATATCTCTCTTGTTACATAGAAATAAAACCAGGATTTATTCAAATCTGTTTAATTTATCAGAGAGCTCTTCCATCAGAAAACATTTTTTTCTAACATTTTAACATAAGACCAAATTTTATTGCTTGCATAAAAAATCTTTGAAAGGTTATGAATTTTTTTGTGCCACTTTATTGATGATTCCAACTTAGAAGCCTCAAAGACAAATCTTTTCTGGATAAAGACTGGGCATCAATGAACAGACAAGGATATGCCAGTTTAAAGTGAAGGCATTTTGTTTCACAGGTTACCCTGTAAAATGCATTTGAATGTCATACATTTTTAATAAATAAGAAGATTCATCTGTGTGATTGTTATCCTTGTTATGTTGCCTGTGGGCAATCAAAAGATGTTTTTACTCATACTCTCTGAATGATTCTTCTTTGTATTTCTCAGACAACTTAAGCTACTTTGCTTGTTCTTGATGCTTAAGTTGAATGGCTTTTGCTCATGCTAGTGATAAAGGCTCTTCTGATTATAATAACTATACCATCACATATGGTTCCTCCATCCTCCCCCTCCTTATTAGGAAGTGGGACATAGTCTAAGCTTTTTATCACATTTCTGCTGGTCTTAATGAACTGTGCCTTGTTTTTGTTTTTCCATTTTCGTAGCATCTGTTTTCCCACTTTATCCTGTAGTCATCTGAGTTCACATGCTCCATTCACTTACAAGGTGGCCCAGCTGCCTTTTGGTGTCATTTGCACTTCATATGTACAGTAGGGCATTTTTTTTAGTGTTCTGATTGCTGTCTAGTTTAATTGATGATCTGCATTTTCAGGCTGGCTTGACTACTAATATTTATTTTTCATGAAGAATGAAACCAAAGCTAAGTGGTGCTCGAAGAATATTGGATTCTCAGACTTAGATGTGAAGACTTCTTTGAGAATCCATCAATGAGAATTGTGCACTATTCATGTGCTCTTCTCAAATGAAGACTTTGGGACTACTTTTTGGATCTGAGTCTGTGGGGCTAAAACACAAATAAGTTAGATGTTTCTCCGCTCCACGATAATCAAACATGCTAGTAGCGACTGTAGATTATTTGCATTTTGCATACTGAACTCTTTTGGAGACGGAATGTGTTTTCTAGCCTTGTGGGAAGCAATTCAACACTGCAGATGAGCTTAAAGCCTCATCTTATCATTCTTGACTGCAAAGAAATGGGGTCTAGTTGGTCTGTGGCAAACTTTCATTTGGATGATAATGTTTTAGTACTGCACATTCTAGTTTGAATAAGGCTTTCGTGAATTCTGTTTTCATTGCTTTTTTTATTTGTAACATCACAAGTGTTTGTATTTTTCTTTAATTGTTAATTTACTTGTTCATGCTGCTTGCTTAAACTTTGAAATGCTTACAGAATAAATTGCTTTGTTTCAGGCTTACTTGTGTTATAATTTTGCTTTGTTTATGATTTAGCCCTGTTGGCCGCTTGTGTCACTTATCAGTATGAACAACCAATTCAGTGAAGATCAAGTAAGTCATGGAATATTGGTTATTATTTGGATCATTGAAATTTTCATAGTTTAAACATGCAGTCTTTTGTGCAGGATGAAGCAACTGTTATGGGGTTTGAAGTACCAAAATCACCTGATTCAAGTTATAATAATGTGTACCCTGGAAATGAAGATGATGCACGTGACCCACCAGTTGTCCCTGCACACCTGCATCGTACCTTGCTTAGCTACCCCGCGAGCATGAATGCTTCTGGGAATCTTCCTTTGCCAGAAAATGTGATTCTAAATCATCTTTACATTGAAAACCGAGAGGCACCAAGATCTGTAGTGGCACTTGGGTTCACTCACCGCTTCCGTTCGAAGTATGTTACTGTTGTGCTGTACAAACCAGTTCCAAGGAGGGGTAGTCCCAGTACTTAAAACATATGAATAGAGAATATACCTTCAATTTGGGTTGGTTGGTTTGCCCTTGTGAGGGAATTAGTTTCAATAGACTCAAATACGGAATTAGCAGAAATGATATTTATTGGTTTCACAACAGCTGATGACTTAGGGGGTTGCTAATTGAACCCGAAAGTTAACATTTGACTTGAAATATCAGTTATGTTATGAGGGGTAGAGTTGCTATACATATAAAGCTTTCTCGTTATTCTTTTTAATCAGTATTTGTGGCATCGTGAGCTTGTTTACTTCCTAGGTGCTGTATACCAAACTTAGAGCTCTTGTATTTGTTGGCATCGGATCATTTCATTTTGATGGGCATGCCTGGCATCAGGTAGCTTTATGTTATGTTTAATTACATAGAGAAGACTTTTGTGTTGCTAACCCCCCAATCATCCAAAAACCAGCTATCCACCTATGTTGATTGAAACAGGTTCTTTGCCAACTACCATCTAGCTTGTCTTCATTGGGCAACTCCTTTCTCTATTCTGAGATTGCTCAAAATATATGAACTCTGTTTGTTTATTAGGTGATATATGCAAAGAATTAGTTGGGTGCATGAATTCTTAGAAATATTTCAAACAAATGTACTTTGCGTACGGTCGGTACTTATCTTCCTAGAGCAAACGAAAGCGTTCAAACAATGGTTTGTTTTATTCATATATTTTAAGAATGTGCATTAGTCAATGTTATCCCTGCCTGGTAATATACAATTCATAGTTCATGCTTTCTGGCCCCTCAAGATAATGTTGAGCTGGTTTGTTGCATTCTTGGCTTGGCTACCTAACTTGATGAAATTACCACTTAATTGTTTTTAATGCTTAGTTGGCTGTAGCCAAGCAATCCCATTTTCCAAATTTGCTCTACTTTAATGAGGCATATCTCCTATTCCCATTTTTTATTCGAGTTTAAATTACATGTTGAGAGATAATTCTTGTCTTTTGAAATTTTTTTTGAATTACATTCGTAAATTATATGAGTAAATTATAAATCTCATATGAATTTACGTGCCCTTTTCAAGATTGGTTTTAGTACCACGTTTTGCACAAATTAAGTAATATATTAGCCTTAATCAAATTGTAATTAAAACTTAATTTTAGTCAAAAAGAGCTTCATCTATTTTAAATCCTTCCATGACTCAACTCCCAGTGTGTATATATATAAGAGTTGACAAAAAAGAAAATAGGAAATTTTTTGTTTTTAAGAGTGAACTGCTGCACATTTTTTTCCTATAAAAGCTGGCAATCTTTATCCATTTCCAACTAAGCAATCTGATCAGTTAAACATCTTATATAATGGACCTTTCTCCTCTATCTTATACTGATAAGCAATGATCAGCAAAGGTTCTTATAATGAAAGTATTTTCTTTTCTTTTAAGATGCTCGAATCTTTTTATTGTGGCGTTATATATTCATCTATTGTCAATTGATTTTAAATTAAATATTTGTTTTAAAAATTTAACAATATATTCAAATTCAACTTCAGCCTTTAAAAAACAAAAATTGCAAACAAATCCCAAGTCATTTCCATGATATCAAGCTCTTAAACAATGCAAGAAAAGTTTTGCAACCAAAGTTGCTTCTCCAGCTAATTCATCTCCAACAAATCCCAGCATGAAACCAAGTCATGTGGTTCATATATTCTTCTAAAAATAGTACTTTCCATAAGGAAAACTCTCAGAGCCTGTGAAAGGGTAAGGATGAGCTATATCATATCATTTCTGTCTTCATCGAAGAATTGGTAAGCAAAATTACGAGGAGAAAAGAAAGCTCCAGTCGTCGACCTTATGCATTAAAGAAAAAGATGTACCATTTGACCTAAGCAGAAGTATGAAATTGTAGGCCATTTTTTTTAATATATCAAGTAGCAAACGTGACATGTTACCCTTAATGGGAAATGGTTTGAATTGGAAGATTGCAATTGAAAAGGCTTTTTTATTCCCAAAATTATTTGCTGCCAGGGTTTGAGCTTTTGCCAAGCTAAGGTCTGCTCAGCTAGTGCTGGACATATCCTTTCTGCATTATTTTTTAATTAAGCATTATCGCCCCTGTTTCAAGAATTTAAGTGCGTAACTACTTTGTTAATGTTTATCCATTAAGATATTTAAAAATAATAACAAATTAACTTATTATTAAATGAACATATATACCGTCAACTTGTGAAGTTTATAAACTCTACTGTTGATATAGAGAGAGTGAAGAATTTTCATATTGTGAAAAACTATTGTATAATGATGAATATCAAATGCAATTTTTTCGATATATGCAACCGATTATTTATTCATGATATATGTGATCTAAGGAAATATAAAGGTCAGACACAAAGGCAGCAAAGATTTACCCAACGTGGAGATGAGGTAAGCATGCATGCACACTTCCACTTGTTCCAGGAAACAGCTTTGGGGCTGCTATTAGAATTTGGCAAAGCTGATCTACTGCAATACATATCAGCGGAATGATTGAAAATAAACAAAAGACACAAAAGGAATTTCGCATGGCTAGAATTAGGTCAAGTTGTATAAACCAACATTAAAATTATTAGCAATTTAATCTTCGCAGATTGACCTTGGAGGGTTCAAACCTACGGCCCATGTGTTCAAAACTTCTGAAAGTAAGGCCTGGTGGACTATTTTCCAATTGTAATTTTTTTTTGAAAGATTGGAGTTTCATTGCAAAGGAGGATGGAAAAATCCCCTTCAAAAATTTTTCAATTGTAATTAATAAGATGCCAAGGATCATGTACTTTCTTTGTTGCTCCTTTGTTTGTGTTTGGCAGGAACTCGAAGTTCAGTAGATGTAATTGACTGATCATTTGAAGATACTCTAGCTTTAACTCCTTACATGTTGCAAAGAAACGTTCATTAATCAAGGCTATACTTTTCCTAGTTTATTAGGTTAAACATTGGCAGCACGACCACAAAACTTTCTTCAATATTTCTTAATTAATTCTGTCCATACTTGGCCCTCGAGTCTGTAGCACTCTACCTCTTCCAGGGCAAATGTTAATGCCCTGCAATGCCCTTAATCTCTGGAGGACATGGAGTCGTAAACATCCCATTAAGAATTTGGAAAATGATAATGATCGTTGATTAGTGCTGATAATCTGAGGTTAGTGTGATAATTAAACAGCTAGTGGGCCCTTTCTACGGAGTCTATTGATCCTTTGGGATATACGACGAGACTTATTCCTGTTCACAGCCAGATGCGGCGAAGTGCATTCTTTTTCATTACTTTTTATATTTTCTTGACTGTTGGGAATCTCCATTAGCTCTTTAAACAGCTCTCACAATGTCAACGGGAATCCTATATAAATACCGGGCAACTTTCCTTTAGTCTAAACAACAGTTGGATACTTTTTCCAATTTCTTTAGAGCGGAAAAAGGAGCAAGCTTCAGAAAAAGAAAGGTAGAAACATGGGTGACATTGAGGGATCCCCAGGAAGCTCCATGCACGGAGTCACTGGAAGGGAACCAACTTTTGCCTTATCAGTTGCATCACCAATGGTCCCAACTGATACAACAGCTAACTTTGACCTGCCTGTGGATTCTGAGCACAAAGCCAAGGTTTTCAAGCTTTTCTCTTTTGCTAACCCCCACATGAGAACCTTTCACTTATCCTGGATCTCTTTCTTCACTTGCTTCGTCTCTACCTTTGCTGCCGCACCCCTTGTTCCCATCATCCGTGACAACCTCAATTTAACGAAACAAGATATTGGGAATGCTGGGGTTGCTTCTGTTTCTGGAAGTATATTCTCAAGGCTTGCAATGGGTGCTGTTTGCGACCTTTTGGGGCCCCGTTATGGCTGCGCATTTTTGATCATGTTGTCAGCTCCAACTGTCTTTTGCATGCCATTTGTTGCAGATGCTGGAGGTTACATCGCTGTCCGGTTTATGATCGGATTCTCCCTTGCTACGTTCGTGTCTTGCCAGTACTGGATGAGCACAATGTTTAACAGCAAGATTATCGGTCTTGTCAATGGAACTGCAGCCGGATGGGGAAACATGGGAGGAGGTGCTACTCAACTTTTGATGCCCTTAGTTTATGACATTATTCGACGAGCTGGATCAACTCCATTCACTGCCTGGAGAATTGCTTTCTTCATCCCTGGATCGCTTCATGTCATCATGGGGATCATGGTCTTAACCCTTGGCCAGGACTTGCCTGATGGGAACCTTAGTACTCTACAAAAGAAGGGTGATGTTGCCAAAGATAAATTCAGCAAGGTAAGTGATCAAATATACTTTTTGATTTCCCTCTTAGCGACCAAAGCAAATTACCATGATGTCAATTCTTTACTAACAAAAGGTATTATTGTTTCAGGTGCTATGGTATGCCGTTACAAATTACAGGACCTGGATCTTTGTCCTTCTCTATGGCTACTCCATGGGAGTTGAATTGTCAACAGATAATGTCATTGCTGAATATTTCTATGACAGGTGAGTTTGCCTAATTGCAAATAGTTAAACGAAAACCTATCTTTATTTTTTTCTTAAAGAAAACGAACAAACAATAAATTCTACTGTAATCAACAGGTTCGATCTCAAACTCCACACAGCTGGAATAATTGCTGCTATTTTTGGTATGGCAAACATTGTTGCTCGCCCCTTTGGTGGTTTCGCTTCTGATAGAGCAGCCCGTTTGTTTGGCATGAGAGGCAGGCTATGGGTCCTATGGATCCTGCAAACCTTAGGAGGTCTCTTCTGTATCTGGCTTGGCCGTGCCAACACACTTCCTATTGCTATCTTGGCAATGATCCTCTTCTCCGTTGGAGCTCAAGCAGCGTGCGGAGCTACTTTTGGCATTATTCCATTCATATCACGACGATCTTTGGGAATCATTTCGGGTCTAACAGGGGCAGGTGGGAACTTCGGGTCCGGATTGACACAGCTAATTTTCTTCTCAACCTCAAGATTTTCCACAGCAGCAGGTCTTTCATGGATGGGAGTCATGATTGTGGCTTGCACTCTTCCTGTGACTCTGGTGCATTTCCCACAATGGGGTAGCATGTTCCTTCCACCTTCGAAAGATGTAACAAAATCCTCTGAAGAACATTACTACTCCTCAGAGTACAACGAGGACGAAAAGAATAAGGGCATGCACTCAGCAAGTCTCAAGTTTGCCGAGAACAGCCGGTCAGAGCGTGGCAGGCGTGTGGCCTCAGCACCAACGCCGCCAGATACAACACCATCCCATGTTTAGTCCATCAAAAGGCAAGATCACAAAATAATAGCGTGTCTTGTTGAATAATGACAAGGTTGGTGCTCTCTCTTATGTCTGTATCTTCCTCTTTTCTTCCTTTTCATCTTCCCTTGAGAAACCTTCTTGTTCACTTTTAAGGTTAAGCTTAGTTGTTGAAGTGCAACCTGGATGTTATAATATCCATAA